AGCTCCTCCTTGTAAGTTGGATCCATGGTGCAGATACCAATCAAGGGCATCTGCAAAGGTTATAGTTGAGAAGCCTATGTTGAGATATTCTCAAGAGGAGCATGCTGAGATACGGAGTAGTTCTTAGTTAAGTAGAAAAATAGACTACGGGAATGCTAGGTCAAAGGTATAAACTAAGAATTCATATACCAGAGCATGAATAATTTTAATCAGATACACCTGTCACTCAAGAGCTACTCAGGGACATTCTAAAGTCATTCAAAGAGTAGCTTCAAGTCAGTTAAAGGAAAGTTTAGGTGGGAAAAACTGTATGATAAAACATGGAATGAAGGATATATCACTACATAACGAGCGTGCAATCTGTAGAAAATCTGAATCATATGAAACTTGGAAAAACTGCTAAAAAAGAAAGCAACAGACAGAAAATGGAAGGGTAAATAAGCAATCTTTATTTTGGGTCTTATCCTCCCCATCCTTAGACCGAAACAATGTCTTCCATTCCCCAGGTGCTATATATGACCTCTACAAATTTAGCTTTTCTGCGATTCAAATAAAATATGTTTATTTTGGAATAAATTTTAATTTCCTTCAAGGAAAGTGCTCTTGATCCAAGAACTGGACCTAACCTCCCTTTATATCAAACCTGACTGCCTCACATTCTGCCTACCACTCCTAGGCACTGTATGACCCCCTTATGGGAGGCTCCTTTATGTAAGGAATTGGACTTGGCCTTCCCTTCCTTGAATCAAACTTGATTGCCTCCCATTACCTGTAGGCATAGGACCTCTATGGGTTTAGTACTCTCCCCCCCAATATTACATATACAACTCCTAGGGGTTTAGCACTCCCCTGAATGTGATAGAAGTATGTATTTTATACAAATAGTATAACCATTTTGATAACAAATTAATAAAGATTTAAAGAATAATTTAAAAAGAGCCACAGGCATAATTCCATTAGGCTCCTTGACAATTAAAGAGTTATGATGGGAAATATGCTGGTTCTTTAAATTAGTCTCCTTTAGGCTACTTCTTGGCGTGAAATCAACCATTCTATTAACTGATACCAAAAAAAGGCTAATAAAACCAATAAACATCCTAGAAAATACCTCAAAATTGCTCCTAACCAAACATGGGCAGAGGTTTGCTTTTCTCATCATGCACTGCATGGGGCAGGTTTTTTTTTTTTTTTTTTTTAGACGGCACACTCGATACACAGATCCATTCTCTTGTGTCTAGGCCCAAATTTACCACTTGCAGCTAATTTGAAAGAACTCAAGTTTGAAACACAATTGACACTGTCACCAATAGCTTAGATCTATACAAGAGATGGTGAAAAAGTTAAATTTATCCATAAAAAAAGTAAACAGTTTAAAACTAGAAAGATTATAAAGGTGGTGAAAATTCCAAGAAAAAAGTGAACAAATTTCAAAATGTGAGATATGGGGAGGAAACTGGTTAACAGGGTTACCTTATTTGTTGATACCCTGCCTATCTCTTCACTATGCACAAGGCACATATGAACTAAAATGTTTAATAAGCCACAACTGACCAGAGGTCCTGCATTACAGGCCAGTACAGGAGGGTCCCATTTTTACAGCAGTTTAGGTTCCAGGCTGCCTGCTGTAAAGTGAAAGCCTTTTTTTTTTTTTTTTTTTTTTTTTAAACTTTCAAATGCATATAAAAGCCTGATAACATGTTTACACTATCTTCCATTAAGAGAGCAAAACCTAAAACAAGATTCATCTACAGTACACACATTACTTACCTTAAAATATTTACATCCTTAGGATATAGTAGGTGGTGAATATATTTACTGTAGGAAGTCAGAATAAATAAACAATGTGTATAATTAAAAAAACACTGCATTAACGAAATGCTGTAAAGTAGGGCCCTTCTGTCAAAACTTCCAAAAAAATAGTAAGTAAAAGAATATTGGGACACTTGGAGAAGACTAAAGAAATCCAACATGGATTTAGGGATGAAAAATACTGTCTTGCAAGTTTGCTGGAATTCGGCAACAGTTACATGGATAAAACAAAGACAAGGTTGGGTGGATTTTACTTCTTTAGATTGTGGAAAGGCATTTGATACAATACCACACCAGTGATTAGTCCAGAAATTTTAAGAAGCAAGTTTAAAAGGCAGAGCACTGAAGTGGATCAAACTGACAGAAGAGTGAAACAGTAAGGAATAAGACACCAGGATAAAATAGAGATATGAGTGGGATTCTGCAAGGATCAATGTTATGACCACTATGGTTACTAATATACACAAACGACCTACTAAAGTGACCGAGCTCTGTGTCAGTTTCCTGACGATGTAAAAATTAACGAGAGATAGAAACTAATAATCCACAGATGCTTATGCTGAGTACAAACCTTAGAACAGCTATTAGGAATTTAAAAAAGAAAACCTTCAGGACTATGTGATACGTGTTAGGCCAATCATCGAGTGCATGACCCTAGCCTGGAGCCCATGCCTGATCAAGCACGTGCAGAAAATTTAAAAGATTTGCAACTGGACTAGTACCAGAAATGATGGAAAGTTGAAAGAACTGAACCTGAAGACCTTGGAAGAGGACAAGATTGCTACATACAAATCTTAAAAGTAATTGATAGGGCAAATAGGACATAGGTGGAAGGTGAAAAACGGACAAGACACAGAGATGCAAGGAGATATTTCTTATGTCTCAGGGCAGTTGAGAAGTGGAATGATTTGAAAAATGAAGTGGCAGAAGAAAACTCAATAAACAGCTTCGAGAGTAGAAATAATAAGGCACAAGAGGTCGGAAATCGGTGATCCCAGTCTAAAAAAAGGTCCAATTGTTGAGGCTAGCAGTAGAGTCTCAACCCCAGCAAACACACACTGGTGAGTATATACAGGCAATGGGACATAAACTTAGCAAACTTACTTTTACCATGTTTAGCTAGGCAGGAATTAGTTGCTGATGGCACTGTGGAAAGGTTAGGATAGAGACTGGGACATCATGGAGCAAAAAGGAACTCAACAGCCAGGAAAAAGCTAGTCATAAAAAAAAAAAAAAAAAAACTTACAAGTAGACTACATTTTTGCAACAGAGATGTAATGCAATACATTAAGGCTGGAAAGTCATTATAAGTTGAAAATGTGGCTACAGAAATTTTAAATGATGAAAGTTGCTGATGCTTTGAGATACAATATTAGTTCATTAATTAGTGAAGCAGATTTAAACAAAAGTTAGTAGTATTGTAAAAGTTAGTATTTTACATGCCATCATGCCAAGAGAAAACTCATGACAGGAGACTATTAGATGAATTGTTAACTCAACTTACAGATCATTATCAATTACCAAAATTCACCCACAAAGGACAATCAATTTTGTCTGCATATATGCTAGTGAAAAATGAAGTACAAATAGTATACACTGAAAAAGACATGCCAAATTCTGAGCACGTAACACCAAGACTGATCTAGCCATGCAGACCTAAATGAGAGAAAATGAAACAGCTCAGCAATCACCCCAAAGTCCTCACCAATAAAGTAATCTCATCAAGTGTGAATTTAAGGTCTGGCACCTGCTTCAGTAGCACCACATGTGAACAAGTACATAAATTATATAGGGTAGACAATGACAGTACAGTAGTCCCTCCCATATCTGCAGGGGATACATTCCAAGACTTACCGTAGATAGTAATGAACCTTATACTACATAAAAGTCGTTTTTATTTACATACCTACGATAAAGTTAAATCGATATATTATGCACAGTAAGTTGAGAATTAGCAATTTTTCACTGATGAGAAGCACTTCACATCTTCTGTTAGGCTTTGAAGAACTGCCAGCATCACTACTTTTGCACTTTGGGGCCATTATTAAGCAAAATTAAGGGTTACTTTGGGGCCACAGTAAAATGTGGATAACTGAAACTGTAGAAACCAAATCTGTGGATATGGGGGCTCTACTGTATTGCTAAACATTTTCCATTAGCCCTCAATGCTGATCAGCAAGTTTTTGGTTGTTTTCCATTCATCACTGCTGGTTTTAAACATCACTACTTGTGCTCCTATACAATTCACACACACCAGACTTGCATGTGGTCGAGGATATTCAGGTTCTTCTAATCTGTGATTTTACCCATGACCTGTTTCGGGAGTTTAACTACTCCCGCAGTCTAGGCCTGATTGGCTGCAGCATATATAACAGAGCATGCCACCTTCATTTCAAGTGTCTTCTTCACTGCCTTGACATGCTGATTTTGTCCTTCCTCTGTGGTGGTCCCACCTTTAGTGTGCACTGACCATATGCTATTTTAAATTGACACCAATTTGCTATATCAACTCACCACCACTATCACCTGCCATATAAAGTTGAAAATCATAAATAATCATAAATAAAAGACTGCTTAAAGAACTATGTATGCACGTACCTAAAGACACTACACTTCACCTCCTGTGTGATCACTATGGGTTCGTTCTTTTGTGAGTATGTACTGTATAATAATGATGTGCTCACTTCCAGGCAGCACTTAATACACATGATTAAGACTTTGTTGTGAATACTGTATAGTAATAATTCAGGCACCACTGTTTGACCCTTAAGGCTTCAGTTTTTTATGAGTAATATTATTCAGTTCCAAGCATACACATTTAATCACCTATGGTCCATACCACATCAATGTCATCTGCACATCTCAGCATAATGTAGGCAATATCTATCTGTCGGCTCTAAGAACCCCTTTTGTCTCGGTAGTCATATACATGTATATTAAAAAATTTTTACACAACACTTAAGCAAGCCAGGAAGAGAAACTCCCTATCTTAAAAATAATTTTGATTACGTAATTCTGTAATCTTCTGAGAAATTAATTTTTCCACGAAGAAAATCTGACCCAAGATAAAACCATAATCTTGCTCAACATCCCAAAGCACACCAAACCTACCACGACATCAGAGTCAAGAACAGCATCTTTACCAACATAGGTAACATCACCATGACCTCCATGAAATTAACAAAACTCACCAGTAGCACCATGATTGCGAGGATGACGAAGAGGACAGCATACCAGTGCTCGACGATCCACCTCTGGAGATTTGCTAGAGACTCGTCACTAAGGAGTAGACCTCGAAGTGTAGCCAGCGGCCCTGAGGGGTCCACCTATGGGAACAACAATACTGTTACAGCTAGAGGCCTCCCGAAAGGTAAAAAATATTTGAAAATAACGTTCGTGAAGGAAATGTTCACTATAGCCTGATAGGAAATTAATAGCTATAAATCAGGTCTTAGCAATTTGGCCTTTAGTTAGAGTGGCCTTCGTTCACATGTACCTTTCTAAGATGTTATATCATCTCACAAGAGGTTCCTTGAAATCAGCGAGAGGCTTTTGACCCCCAAGAAATTAAACCTACCCTTTCTTTCCTAAATCAAATCTGATTACCTTCAATTTCTGCAGGAACTGTACAACCCCTATGGGTTTAACACTCTCCCATCTATGAATACAAACAGTATTAAAATATGCTGTTATATCACTATGCATATTTTCACTGAATCATTTTTTTATCCTCAAGGCAGGGAACAAAAAAAAAAAAAAAAAAAAAAAAAACACCATATACACACAAAGTTTTTAAGGTCAAGGGGTAACACCAGGAGCAGAGTGTAGACCACCTACAAGCACAGCCGAGTGCAAATCTGAGTACATACGCGATGTATTGGTGAAATTCATATATGCACACATGTATGTCCAGACTCACACATAACTAACTACAGCTTCTGTTTTCAACAATGTAAATCAAAACTTAAATATGAAAGTTATTAATCTGGAGATTTGACACTTATGGGTTTACAACTTTGTGTGTGAATATAAAATTCTGTATCAATAATAAGGCAGGTTAATACAGTAATGCTTTTCAACTATAAAGATCTATTATTTAAACCAAGATAATTTACAAACCTCTCTGCACTTATTGAAGACATCACAGTACCCTTTGTAATTGTTGCAAGGAGTTCCAGCTTTAGCATACATATCTGGAATGTCATATGGTGGAACATTCCACTCAAATGAGGATCTGCAAGGAAAAACAATCTTATGTAAACTTTTAGATGAGGATATCCAAGGATCAGTGTTATTAACAGAGAAACTATAAGAACAAACCCTTCAAGTGGGGAATTTGTGCTGAAGGGCTCTTGATTCAAGGAATCAGAGCTAACTTTCTCTTCCTTGGATCAAACCTAATTACCGCTCCCTTCCCAGGGAACACGACCTCTGTGGGTTTAGCACTTCCCATAAATATAATAACAGAATACAGGCATAAGGTATTTGCATATTTGAGGAATGGAATTGTCTTCTATGGTCTATTACAAAAACTTATTGCACTAACTGCGATATTACTTTTCCTCTTGCACACTCCCTTACCCCTACTAACCAATGCCCTCGCACACTCCTGCCCTTTTTTTCCCTCATAAACTAAGCACATTCCTTCTTTCATACATCCCTCTGCAGCAATGTATGACCCTCTCAGGTTTAGTGCCTAACTGGATTATATTATTATTATTACAAATATAATTAAATATAGTGTAACAATTTCATTGAACTGCTTACTATTAATGAGAGATCAAGACAGAGTACACAATATGACTAACAGTTTAAAGTGATCTCTACATATTCTTTGCTTGGAACACTTGAGAATAAACTCACAGGCAAAGCTGATTCTCCCCAGGGAGTTTGCAGCAGAGTTCACAAGATTTGGTGATGGGATCACCGAGGTTACGTTCACATTGGCAAGATTCCAGGCCATATGCCAAGCAGATAGACCCACTGCACTCTCCCTTATAACACACGAACTCTTCATTGCAGATAGTCTGTTGTGATAAAAATGTTCAGTATCAGTTACAATTTATTATCAGTACTTTACGACATGACAACTTTTGCTACTTAGGACATCTACAGGAAAAGTGTCATTATGCTATCTTCTTCTTCTTCTTCTTCTTTCAACAAACCAGCCGTATCCCACCGAGGCGGGGTAGCCCAAAAGGAAAAACGAAAGTTTCTCCTTTTACATCTAGTAATATATACAGGAGAAGGGGGTTACTAGCCCCTTGCTCCCGGCATTTTAGTCGCCTCCTACGACAAGCATGGCTTACAGAGGAAGAATTCTGTTCCACTTCCCCATGGAGATAAGAAGAAATAAACAAAGAACAAGAACTAGAAAGAAAATAGAAGAAAACCCAGAGGGGTATGTATGTATATATATGCTTGTACATGTATGTGTACTGTGACCTAAGTGTAAGTAGAAGTAGCAACACGTACCTGAAACCTTGCATGTTCATGAGACAGAAAAATGGACACCAGCAATCCTTCCTTTCTTTCAACACACCGGCCATATCCCACCGAGGCGGGGTAGCCCAAAAGGAAAAACGAAAGTTTCTCCTTTTACATTTAGTAATATATACAGGAGAAGAGGTTACTAGCCCCTTGCTCCCGGCATTTTAGTCGCCTCTTACAACACGCATGGCTTACGGAGGAAGAATTCTGTTCCACTTCCCCATGGAGATACGAGGAAATAAACAAGAATAAGAACTAGAAAGAAAATAGAAGAAAACCCAGAGGGGCGTGTATATATGTGCTTGTACATGTAAGTGTAGTGTGACCTAAGTGTAAGTACACGTAGAAGTAGCAAGACATACCTGAAATCTTGCATGTTCATGAGACAGAAAAAAGGACACCAGCAATCCTACCATCATGTAAAACAATTACAGGCTTTTGTTTGACATTCACTTGGCAGGACGGTAGTACCTCCCTGGGCGGTTGCTGTCTACCAGCCTACTACCTACAATTATGCTATCTCTGTAAAACAAAAAAATAAAAGGTTCAAAAAAAATGTTACGCAAAAGTTTTTCATGTCCTTGAGGCAGGTTCAAAACTGTGCTGAAAGGTGATTAGAGCAAGAAAAAATCTAAGTAATGGAAGTTTATCCATGGCAGCAAAAAGGAAGTGTACCCAAGTACAGCAGTACCAATATTAATATGGGTGTGACACATGGGCTTTGGCCACTGCAGTGAGGAGGAGGATGGAGGCAGTAATGAGGGTGATGTTAGGTGTGAATATTATGCAGAGAATTAGTAGTGTGGAGAATAGAAAATGATGCAAGTTTACTAAAAGTACAAGTGAGGAGGCTGAGGAGGGGTTATTGAGATGGTTTGGGCATTCAGAGTAGAGGAAATTAGGATGACCAAGAGAGTATATAAATTTTGGGTATAAGGTAGGAGAGGTAGGGGGGTTCACCCCAGGAAGGGTAGGAGGGAATGGGTGGAGGTTTCAAGATCTAAGGACTTGAACAGTCAACAGGATTGTGTGAGCCTGTCAGACTAGAATGAGCAGAGATAAGTGTTTTTTATGCCCGCCCTAATGTGCTGTTGTAGTGTGAGCAAGGTAATATTTATTAGATTCTGGGCAATGGGTTAGCTGGACTTGAGTCCTGAACACGGAAGGTACAGCATCTGCACTCTAACGCAAAGTTTAGATTTGTTGTAATTCGGAGGGTCATCTGAACTGTGATATCAGTACACCTAAGGCATGACAGATTGAACAATTGAAATATTTCCCATAAAGATAAAAAAATTAGGATTTGTATGTATAATGGATATGTACTGGATATGCATGTGGTAAGCCTTTGAAGAATTGTGATAAGCAAGTATTCTTCTGTAAACTGAAGATTGGTAAACTTTGTAGGACAAAAGTTAAAGTATAGAATATTCACAAATAATTACAGGCCTGCCAGGAATGGAGAGAAGGGAAGTAGGTTTACCTTATTGGGCTTGTTGGTGGAAGGGGGACACTCAGGGACACGACCATTGCAGAAGGAGGAGTCCCGACACCCATTGTCATCTCTACACTTGTCACCTTCCTTCAAGCGACAGTCGTGAGTACAGCAAGGTCCCTGAAACAACCAAAATTAGCACCAGTCTAACACTTAATAATGATTTCTAATCTTTTTCTAACTTTACCCCAACAAGGGTAAGTTAAAGAATTGATACACAGTATGTAGTATTTTATCAAGTCCTTAAAGGAGGAAGAGGATGTTCCTACAAATCCAAGAACTGGAGCCACCCTCCCTCTTCCTGGATCAAATCTGATTACCACCAATTCCTCAGGTGCTATATGATTCTATATTAAAATTTCCCCCATGGACATAATTATGATCCTCCAAGAAGCAAGGAAAACAGGATGCTGCATTGGAACAAAGTTGAGCCAAGACAAATCAAGAATACTGACCTCTACTCAACAAAATGCAGCAATGGTTGACATTAATCAATACAAGTTCAAAGATTGAGTTTTTTCACAACACTAAATTTACACATGAAGAGCCATTACCCTACTTCAACTCATTTTACAACCCAACTGTATCTAATATAAACTGTATCCAGACCTTCCCCAGGATGTGACCTGTATTGGTCAGCTAACACCTGGACACCTGTGCTGAAATTCTGTAATAAACTAGTACAAGAATTCAAAAGGATTCCTTGGAATCAACCTGTGGTTTGGAAGTTGTCAACCCCATGCTCTATCCTCTGTACTCTTAAGGGAAGTTCTTAGACGCTAGTGAGGGATTCTCGATTCCAAGGAATTGGACTTCACTTCCTTTCCTTGAACTCCACCTGATTACCTTCCATTTTCCCAGCACCTCTACAGGTTTAGAGCCCCCTCATTAACATAATAATTTATCCTGAGGAGCAGCTGAGAGAGCATTGGGCTGGTGGGCAACTGCCAAACCACAGACATCAGTCCCAGTGCTCCCTTTGACCTGGGTACCTATTTACTGCTATTTGCAGAAGGGAAACAAGTTCAGGAAATGTGATATCAAAGTGATATTCTTCCTGCCATAAATATCACATTTAATATAAAAAAATTAACGCTGTGTATAAGTAGCCTTCCTGGTTGTATGGAATACAAAGTGCAGCCTCCTACAGTACCATCTGAGCTGCCTGATGTAGGACCAGCCTCAGTACTGCCCACAGACTATGAAGCTGAAATTCGTCGATGTTTTTTTGCAGTGTTTGCTCAAAGACTTATTCTGGGAGATTGTACGTATGTTCACCCTTCATGGGAAAGGGGGGTGATGCTGATGAAGCACTCTTGTTTCTAGGAATTTAAAGTACTCTTCCCCTTCCTCGAATCAAGCCCAATTTCCCCACATTCCCTAGGTGCTATATGACACTTACTGGTTTAGCATTTACCTGAATGTAAGAATAATAAAAATATAAAACTATAGGCACAACTGAATACCACTTCCCTATAAGATCATTTTGGTATATATCAAATATAATAAAACAAGTTAGCAATTACTTTGGTAATTATTATAGAAGTTTCTTCAGGAATAAATGTGTAGACACACAAAATGCATCAAGAAACAAATTAGTCCCACAAATAAATATCAAGACAAACATGATAAATACATGGATACGAGGACATTATAGATATGCAAAGACGTAAAATCAAAGAGGAAAAGGCAGTTCAGCTGACCTTGGAGGAGTAGTGAGCAAACTTCTCACCTGGGACGGAGAGCAGACCTTGTTTGGTCTGAGTGTACATGGCTTCTGAGTTTTCTTTGGGTTGTTCTTCATGGGGTAGCAGCAAGCCTCACCACAGTCTTCTTCCCAGCCACAGTCACACTCCTCGCCTGCTTCCACCACCCCATTGCCACAAATGGCCTTCTGAGGCTCCGTGAAGCATCCCTTGGAGTCCCGCGCCTTGGAGTTGAGCACACTGTTGATCTGACGCAGAGAACACGGCGAGAACTTGTTATTGTTCCTCTTGTCCCCTGACGTAGCTCTGTGGGGCATCAAGACAGTGAGAATACAGTGATGGCACAAACTGTATTACACAGTCTAACTGAGAATTAAGGGCACAGTAATATCATTGGCATCTACTGGATAAACGGGGCACCCATTGGATCAGGCTTCTGTCAAGAAAGCATAACTATACTGATGACCTGCCAAATGTCCTTGCCTCCTTCCTTCCCTGGAAACCCTAATTTTCCCTGAAAAGTTCCAGCAGATGGCCATGGCTAATATGACTCCCTAGCCTATCATACCTATCAATTCAAATTAAATTCAAATTCAAATTCAAAGTTTATTCTCTATAAGGACTACAATGCTGAGTTTACAGAATTTGGTTATTGTGTGGTTTACATGTAGTAAAACAATGATTACAGAGTGTACCACTAGAACACCTAGCATGGCTAGGCATTTCGGGCAGACTTAGTTTAATTCTTAATTTTAAAATATTACAAATTATGAGGTAAGTTGGTATTATGGCTAAGTGACTAAATACTAGTTTGTGAGTTTAGCAATGTGAATGCTTTTGTTTTGGCACAGTACATAGTTTCAGTATTGGAGTATCACAGGATTCATTATTTTAAGATTGAGATTAATATTTCTGTTTATGGTCAAATGGGTGAGTGAGTGTAAGTGTGAACCACCAGGTGGTATTCGTGTAGTTAGTTGACGGGATGCATCAGGGAGATAAGATGTTTTCTAATGGTAGTTTTGAAGGTGATGAATGTGTCTTCAGTTCTAGAGTTCTCAGGTAGGGTGTTCCAGATTTTAGGGCCTTTGACATACATTGAATTTTTGTAAAGGTTTAGTCGGACACGGGGAATGTCTTAGAGATGTTTGTGTCTGGTGTTATGCCTGTGGGTTCTGTCACAACTATCAAGAAAGCGTTTTAGGTCAAGGTTGATATTGGAGTTTAAGGTCCTGTAGATGTAGATTGCACAGTAGTAAGTGTGGATGTACTGAACAGGGAGTAAGTTTAGATCTATGAAGAGTGGGGGGGGGGTGTTGCCAGGGATGGGATTTAGTGATTATTCTTACTACAGCTTTTTGTTGGGTTATTATTGGCTTTAGGTGTGTTGCTGCAGTTGATCCCCAAGCACAAATAGCATAGGTGAGGTATGGATAAATAAGTGAGTGGTATAGTGTGAGAAGGGCATTTTGCGGCACGTAGTATCGTATCTTGGAGAGGATCCCAACCGTTTTGGATACTTTTTTGGTTATGTGTTGGATATGGGTGCTGAAATTCAGGTTGTCAAGGTATAGGCCTAGGAATTTGCCCTCATTGTGTCTGGTAATTAGAGTGTTGTCGATCTTAATGTTAATTTGTGCATCTCCTGCTCTGCTACCAAACATAATATAGTAGGTTTTGTCAGTGTTAAGTGTAAGTTTATTGGCTGTCATCCAAGTCGATATTTTGATCAGCTCCTCGTTAACAATGGTGTTGAGGGTGGCAAGATTAGGGTGAGAGATGACATAAGTCGTGTCGTCAGCAAAGAGAATGGGTTTCAGGTGTTGGGATACGTTTGGAAGATCATTGATGTATATGAGGAAGAGCAGGATCTGCCTATCTGACAAGGTGCATGCAATCTCATGACCAAACATTGCCTACCTGGCGAACATGATGTAGTTGCCATCCTCGCCTCCAGGGGTGCAACGGATGTCAGACTCTGGGTCGTGAGGACTGCCGAAGTTGTGACCAATCTCATGGGCGAGGGTGACGTGGCTGACGGCAGGGGGTACATGCTTGCCATAGTTCAGTAGTGTAACGATGCCAGTGTTGAGAGACTGAAAAAAATAGGAAGGGCTCAGATGAAGGGTGAGAGAGTTTAGGCACACACTAGCCCCAATCTGTGTGGAAAGCCTAGGAACCTCTACCCTTCCCTCCTAAATCCAACGAGCCACCTGAACTCCAAAACCCAAACCCAGCCACCCACCCTCAGGAACATACCTTGAGACTTCCGCGGTAGTGACCATTCTTCTCGCAAACTCCACCAGCGTTCTTCAGGTCTCCCGTCCATGCCAACCCCAGCGTACCCCCCTCGAAGTCCCTAAAGGAGGAGGAAGAGGTAGTGGTTAGTGCGTTCTCGGTGGTGTGGTCTGATAGGTGCAAGCATAGGTGGCAAAGAAAACATTACAAGAGTATATACAGTCTTACCTAGACACTCACCACAGAACACAAGGACCTACCTGTAGGTGAACATGTAGGCAAGGCAGAAAGCGTCATAATCTTCCTCAGAGAAAAGTTCGAGGAACTTCTCGACCCCGTAGTTACCGGGGAACCTGTAGGACGGGTCCTTGAGGGCCTCTCTGGTGTGTACCTTGATGCGCTTGATCATGAAGCCTATCTCGTCTGCCTCGTTGTCCAGATCGAAGTCTGCCATGTAGGGAGAGTGGTGTGAGAGGGAGAGGTTGGTGTGAGAATGGGAGGAAGAATAGTCAGAGGGAAAGAAGAGAAAGGGAAGAAATAGAAAAAGAAAAGGAGAGCGATCACCATTCCTTACAGCCTCACCCCTCTCCCATTTTTTGTGCCATTCCATTCACACATTTCTATACCAACCCATTCCCAGTACCACCTCGGGTTACTTGTCTTATCCTGCTCGTCCCTTTCCTCCTATCCCCTCGTATTGAGCGTCAAGTGGTGTCCAGTCGAGCATCGCCTATCCTAAAGGCCACCATTGGCTAAAGTGAAGACTAATGACTGCACCTGCCTCCCCCACTCCTTCCCTTCTTTTCAACCATCCCAGAAGCAGATATCGTTTCACCGACCTTTGCCAGTAATGGTGGTGGCCGGAGACAGCGTGAGGGAGGACAAAAATAAGGGGATACAGGAAGGGAAGGGAAAACGATATATAGTGAGAAAAGGGAGAAGGTACAGTATATAGAAGGTATATAAAGAGGGAGGGAGAAGAAAGACTAGAGAGATGGAGAGAAGATAAGAGAAGACTTTTTGAAAAAAAAATCACCCAGAGGGTTAGTAACCCTGGCTAACCAGAGAGAAACAGTGTGACATTTCCACCGAGGTCCTTTGATCCTCTTGCCCGGGATATGACCCACAGCAGTAGACTTACACCTAGTTATCTATATATTGACAGGTAAACTGAGACAACATGTGAAGGAAAACATACTCCAACATCACCTGTCTCAGGACAGAACCCAGGTCCTACAGTTGTGAACCGAATATGCTACCACTGATATACGAGGTGCGGTGTAACTTGTCATGATTGTGACCAGATCTACCTAGAGTTCATTACCTTTGTAACTTGCTCAGCTATCAACACTTTGGGGCCCAGACCCTGGACCCATTATGCACCTCTGTAATCTTTTGACTACCACCCACAGGATGGGTATGGGGCGCATGATAAACATATTAAACTAACTGATATACGAGGGAGATGAGGATGGGGGGTTACAAATAGGTGTAGAAAAGGTATACAGTAAGGACGTGCGGGAAAAGAAGCTACAGAGGAGAGGAGATGAAGACAAGACACAAGGATATCTAGTAGTAAGAAACTGAGAAAAGGTCAGGGAAGAGGATGGAAGGAACCGAGGAATAAAAAGCAAGGAAGAGAGAGGGAAGGAACCGAGGAAAAATGGAAAGAAACGGGTATACTAAACCCAGACACTAATAAAGCAGAGTTGATGTACAACTCGTATGACTTTAGCGTTTGTTTTCGAAAATAATAATAATAGTATTAATAATATCATTATCAATGCTGAGTTTGCAGCTAAACCCTAACGAAAACCAAGAATCAAGACAAACTATAGAAGTCAGGAGGAAAAGCAAAGGCTGACACAACAACAGTGGAGAACGACATGCAACCCACTATCACAACACAAAAAAAAAAAATAGCAGAGAGGAATTTAGAGCAATGGGAAGTGGGGAAAATGGTATTAAAAACAATACGAAAGAACAAAAAAAAGCATGTAATAACAGCGGGAGAGTGAGATGAAAGTAGTATTGGAGATTTCTATCAAAACTTTGGCTACGATCATACGGAAAAAAAAAAACGGCAACAGACCTTTGGAGCCAAACGAGGCTGTTTGTTTATAGATGGGTTTAGGCGAGGCAAACAATGGAAGTCGCCGAGTTACAGAAAAGTATTTATCCAGCGTATTTTTTAAATGTATATAGGTTACTGCTTGCGAGGTAGGGGAAGGCAGAGGGAGACAAGCAAGGGAAGGTGAAGCCAGAGAGAGAGAGAGAGAGAGAGAGAGAGAGAGAGAGAGCAGCGCCACAGGCAACACCAGCATCATGTTACACACGAATGACAGAAGAGAAACTATCAACAATATGGATCATCCAGCCCCCAGGAGATCCAATTTACCGAGATGCCTCGGGCAGTGTTTCTTATCCAGGTCTTGCCACGAGAACAAAGTTTAAGAGAAATACTGCCCTAGGTCTACTGGTCCATGCAAAGCAGGCCTCTCTCAAGCCCAACCTTTCCATTGATAAATTTCACCCCCCCCCCCCAAAAAAAAAGTGACATTGTTCCACGAGGACCTGTTTTTTTCGAGGTCCTAAAATAAAAATAATGCGAGCAATAAGATCATGTCTTCACAACACGTTTTCCTTCAAATTTGGCTTCACTTTCTGTTTAAGAAATAATAGTTTCTCTAATATATCACTGACTAGAAGACCACATCTACAATGTATCACTGTTTAAAAGGCCTCATCTGTAATGTACCTCTATTCAGAAACCATATCTGTAATATATTAGTGTGTTATATATCATATCTATGTAATATAGCATTATATTGAGCACAATTTGAATGCTAATGGTTAGTTTTAATTTAGGTGTTGTGTGCCACGCCTGAAAAAAATGGGGATGACCAGAACACTCGTAGTTAATAGAGACCATTAACTTCATCTTCACTAATGAAGATGAAGGTATCTTAGAGATGTTTCTCCCATCCCGGAGCTTTATCAATCTAATACAGAGATACGAGGATGGAGGAAGAGAGAGATGCAACAGTTGTAGGCGTGGTTAAATGTGAGCCCCCCCCCCCGGCCTAGTGGAAGTAGGTCAGGCCCATAATATGTACCAGAGACTAGCAATACCTGGAGAGAGTTCCGGGGGTCAACGCCCCCGCGGCCCGGTCTGTGACCAGGCCTCCTGGTGGATCAGAGCCTGATCAACCAGGCTGTTGCTGCTGGCTGCACGCAAACCAACGTACGAGCCACAGCCCGGCTGATCAGGAACTGACTTTAGGTGCTTGTCCAGTGCCAGCTTGAAGACTGCCAGGGGTCTGTTGGTAATCCCCCTTATGTGTGCTGGGAGGCAGTTGAACAGTCTCGGGCCCCTGACACTTATTGTATGGTCTCTTAACGTGCTAGTGACACCCCTGCTTTTCATTGGGGGGATGGTGCATCGTCTGCCAAGTCTTTTGCTTTCGTAGTGACAAGTATTACTAGATGGAAGGTATACATACCGATAAGTTAAGGTATACAGTATGTGCACATGTTTTCCTCATGAGAGTGGAGGGATGTTACAGACACAAGATGCAAATCACACACTACCTTGTCTCCATCATTCTGAAGCGGTATTCTAATGCAAAGAAAAAAATACAGAATTAAACATTCAAAGTAAACAGCTCCCATTCTCTTCAATTATTTTTCCAAAAACATTAGGACGCATTTCTTTAAGACACCTGCTGTCCATGTTCACCTAAGTAAAATACGTACGTGGGTGTTAGGCGACTGGTGTGGGTAGCATCCTGGGATACAAAATTGACCTAATTTGCCCGAAATGCTCTGCATAAGAAGGGGCTTTCTATATAGTAGTATGTCATTGATATCAGCTAGACTTTTATACCTTGTACATGTACCTGTAGAAATATTATAAAAAAATGTTATGGATCCATGTTTACACTATTCGACGTCCAAGATGGCGTATAAAACACTGCGTGACATCACAATGGCGAGCAAAACAAAGCATGACGTTAAATGGCGACCAAAAGGAAGCGAGACTAATACAAAATGTCGACAGTACGGGGAGGGGGAGGGACACTGATCCAGCAGAGACAAACGGTATGTATCTCGAGGTTTACCTGGAGTTTACCTGGAGAGAGTTTCGGGGGTCAATGCCCCCGCGGCCCGGTCTGTGACCAGGCCTCCTGGTGGATCAGCGCCTGATCAACCAGGCTGTTGCTGCTGGCTGCACGCAAACCAACGTACGAGCCACAGCCCGGCTGATCAGGAACTGACTTTAGGTGCTTGTCCAGTGCCAGCTTGAAGACTGCCAGGGGTCTGTTGGTAATCCCCCTTATGTGTGCTGGGAGGCAGTTGAACAGTCTCGGGCCCCTGACACTTATTGTATGGTCTCTTAACGTGCTAGTGACACCCCTGCTTTTCATTGGGGGGATGGTGCATCGTCTGCCAAGTCTTTTGCTTTCGTAGTGAGTGATTTTCGTGTGCAAGTTCGGTACTAGTCCCTCTAGGATTTTCCAGGTGTATATAATCATGTATCTCTCCCTCCTGCGTTCCAGGGAATACAGGTTTAGAAACCTCAGGCGCTCCCAGTAATTGAGGTGTTTTATCTCCGTTATGCGCGCCGTGAAAGTTCTCTGTACATTTTCTAGGTCGGCAATTTCACCTGCCTTGAAAGGTGCTGTTATTTCATTTTTTTTATGACGCCCATCACACGCCCTTCAAAAGCACCCAGCTACTGGCTGACACTTTCTGCTCCCCCTCAATCACTCTTCTCACCAACCTAACTAAAGCTGTCCCATCGTCCATGCTCACCCCCCCCCCCCAAAAAAAAAAGTGTTTTTTGTTTACACAATTCAAAATTCAATTCAATCTTTGTTTGGGGAAATAAATAGTAGTCTCGACGTTTGTGTATAGGTGAACTGCGGTCTTCCCTTTCTACGTGCAGTCAAAGGCCTACAACCTAAGATCACCTCCCACCTCTGGCTGTATCATCCTCAAAAGGCGTTAAAGAGGAGGGTAGAACCTACCCTTAAGTATACAGGATCCTAGGGGCAAGGACGAGAGAATAAGCAGTTACTGTGTGAAGGGTAGAAGATGATAGTAAGTTTAAGACTAGGTCACATGTGGGCGGGACCCACACCTTGAACTGCCGCATTAATTCTTATGATAGTAAGAGAAACCATCGCACTACACAGGGTGTAGGAAGACAACAGAAAGAAGAGACAGACAGGGAATGCAACTCACTGGTTTGGGGAAGCGACAAAGCTAGAGTTAGCAAATGGAAACAGCCAGGGGGTAAAGGAGAAAAGCGAATGAGGGGAAGGGCTGAAAGCGAGCGAGGGGAGTAAATGACCGGTGATGAGGAAACGCGAGAGCGAGGGAGTTGAGGGAAAATGTGGAGGCAGTCAGGGGAAGGTAAGAGCTAGGATAGGTAAGGGAGAGCGCTAGGACAAGTAAGGGCAAAGTCAATGGAAATAAGAGAGCGCTAGGGAAGGGAATTTGGGCCGCGAGAGCAATGATCCCAGAAATCATCTACAAGCTACAAGAATGAATGATACATGAGCGAGCTATGTGAACGAGGGATGAAGCGGTGGGTACAAGGCTACTACTAACCTGTGACGCGGTAAATATTGTTGACCCGTTGTACGTGTCGTGTGATAGTCTCGATGCAAGCCTCTTCGGAGCCGATCTTCTCATAGAAGAGGTGGTCAGCCTGCAGGTACAACATGCACGTGGTCTTCTGCGGGTCCACGCTCGACCTGCGACACCATTATTTTAGGACGTATAAAAAGGTTATATCATACTGTGTTAAAATAAAGCACAGACGGTCTGAGAGGAAAGTACACAAATAACCCGCACATAAGAAGCTTATGACAACATTTCGATCCGACGCTGGACCGAAACGTCGTCATAAGCTTCTTGTTCCTACGTGTGGGTTATTTGTATATTGTTCCAGTCACTGTATTGTGCCTTTTGGTTGTTTCTGAGAGTAAAGTTTTGATAACGAGATAAGCGTTCACAAGACAGTGTGAATATATGTTATAAATACTGGCAGATTCCTTACCTCTTCCTCCTGTGTGTGGTGGTGGTGGTGTACCGAGTGTGGCGTAGAGGGGCAGGTGTGGCCGCTCCTCCACTCTTCCTGGTGAAGTTGAAGGGAGCAGGATGGTGGTACGGGTGCGGGTTCCCGCTTCCCCCCGTTGGCTCGTACACCAGCTGGAAGTCCAGCTGATGGTGGTGATTGTTGGTCTCGTGTTGGAGAGCCCCTCTGTGGTGGAGGTGCATGGTGGAGAAATAGGTGGACGAAGTGTTGTTGTTTGGGGCGGAGGTTGTGGAGGCGTGCTGGGGAATGTGTGTCCCTCTATCAGCACCGGCAGGAACAGCCCCGGCTGCGCCCTCACGCTCTTTGAACTCGTTTACAAAAGACGACGGCTTTTTATCAAAAATAGTTTTGTTTGTAGGTGAATAACTAAGACGGCTAGGTTGTCTGTGTGACGCTGAGGACTTTGAAGCCTCGGCGGCGGGGGAGGAGGAGGTAGCTGTACCAGATTCGCCAGACGCTGCACTGCCAGGCACTGGCCTTCCAGGGCCATACAAACTTTTACTATAAGTCACAGCCATAAGTTTGGGGTTGACACCTTGTGGCGGAGGTGAGGGGGCGGCGGCCCCCCTGGTTGCTGCCGCGCTGGACGAAATGGAAGAATGAGACGAAGTCGTCGAACTCCGGTGGGGAACTTGTACAGGTGGTCCCTCCCGCCCCTGTGGGCGAGGGGTGGGCGGCCCCCATGGAGAGTGGACGCGGCCCTGTCGATGCAGCTTCTGCGACGCACAGCGAGAAAGCGACGGATGGACCACGTCCGACGCCTTGTACATGACGGAGTGAAACTCGGCCCCCGGCAGGTACCTGGTGGCTGGCTCCACGTAGTAGAGCTCGCTAGGCGTGGAGACGTGACCGTCGAATAACCCTTCTCTGGTCACCACGCCCTCCACCCTCGCTAACTCCTCGTCTGCAACATAATATATAAATGAAGTGCTAAGCCCGCATGGGCCATGTGCACACGCGCGCGCACACACACACACACACACACACACACACACACACATACAACAGGCCTAGTGTCTAATCAACAGGTGCCTAGGACAAAATGGTAACTAACACACAGAGCAGGTAATCAGGCTGAGGAAGGAAGGAGGGAAGATCACAAGAAACAACCGTGAAGTATGTGAGGAGCTCAACAAAAGCTTTAAAGAAGTGTTCACAGAGGAGACAGAAAGCACTCCAGAGAGACGGAGAAGTGGGTACATCATCAACTGTTGGACACAAAACATATAACCGAGGAAGAAGTTCACTGAAGAGGCTGCTAAGCTAGCTAGATACTTCAAAGGCGATGGGGCCGGATAACATCTCTCCATGGGTCCTGATAGAGGGAGCAGAGACGCTATGTGTACCACTAACAACAATCATCTAATACATCTATCGAAACAAGGCGACTACCCAAGGTATGGAAAACAGAAGACGTAGTCCCAATTTTTTAAAAAGGAGACAGACACGAAGCATACACTACAGACCAGTGTCACTGACATGTATACTATTCAAAGTCATGGAGAAGATTATCAGAAGAATGGTGGAGCATCTAGAAAAGAATAAGGTTATCAAAGACAGCCAGCACGGTTTCAGGGACGGAAAATCCTGTGTCACAAACCTACTGGAGTTCTATGACAGGGTGAAAGCAGTAAGATAAGAGAGGGGGGGGGGTAGATTGCGTTTTCTTGACTGTAAGAAGGCGTTTGACACAGTTCAACACAAGAGATTAGTGCAAAAGCTGGAGGCCCAGGCAGGTATAATAGGGAAGGCACTGCAATGGATCAGGGAATACCTGTCAGGAAGACAACAGCGAGTCATGGTACGTGGCGAGATGTCAGAGTGGGCGCCTGTAACTAGCGGGGTTCCACAGGGTCAGTCCTAGAACCGGTGCTGTTTCTGGTATTTGTGAACGACATGACGGAAGGAATAGACTTAAAAAGTATCCCTGTTTGCAGATGATGAGGACCAGGCAGAACTACAAAGGGATCTGGACAGGCTGCAGGCCTGCTCCAGAAACTGGCTCCTGAAGTTCAACCCCACCAAGTGCAAAGTCATGAAGATCGGGGAAGGGCAAAGAAGACCGCCAGAGACTACAAACCTCACTCAAGGAAAAAGATCTTGGGGCGAGTTTAACACCAGACATCTCCTGAGGCGCACATCAACCAAATAACTGCTGCAGCATACGGGCGCCTAGCAAACCTAAGAACAGCATTCCGACATATCAATAAGGAATCGTTCAGGACCCTGTACACCATGTATGTTAGGCCTATATTGGAGTACGCAACACCAGTTTGGAATCCACAATAAGCCAAGCACGTAAGGAAATTAGAGAAAGTGCAAAGGTTTGCAATAAGACTAGTCCCGGAGCTAAGGGGCATGTCCTACGAGGAGAGGTTAAGGGAAATCGACCTGACAACACTGGAGGATAGGAGAGAGAGGGTGGATATGATAACAAGATATAAAATACTGAGAGGAACTGACAAGGTGGACAGAGACAGGATGTTCCAGAGATTGGGCACAGTAACAAGGGGTCACAGTTGGAAGTTGAAGACTCGGATGAATCACAGGATGTTAGGAAGTATTTCTTCAGTCACAGAGTTATCAGGAAATGGAATAGTCTGGGAAATGATTTGGAGGAAGGATCCATACACAGCTTTAAGAAGAGGTATGATAAAGCTCATGGAGCAGGAAGAGTGACCTAGTAGCGACCAGTGAAGAGGCGGGGCTAGGAGCTGTGAATCGACCCCTGCAACCACAACTAGGCGAGTACACACACAAGTGCCTCTGACAACTAATATCTAACACAGTAATTACAAATTTACTAACTTCGTTACCACCGCCTCTGCACCATAACATTACAGATATTTCAGTAATACCTTCAACATTAGTTATCCATAAGGGTTTATCGCATGATATAAATTATAATAATCATAACTAAGCGCTAAACCCACATCATATAAATAATAAAACGATCATTACAAATATGTTTAATGCAACATGACTCACGAAATCGTAATGACACGATTGCAAACAAACCATACCACGGGCGGGATTTGAACCCGCGGTCATGAGTCATGTTGACGGTTTTGAGGGGACTTGAGCTCGAGTTCGTCACGGCCATGCTAGCTGGAGATTCGTCTGTAAAAACTTGCATTTGTGGACACAGTGGTGCCTATGCTAACCTTCCTATGGTGTAGAAATATACCTAGTTGGACGAATCTTATTGAAGCTAGCTGGTCCAGTGACTAACGTGACGGTCTGGAGTTTTGAGACTCTCTGACCGCGGGTTCAAATCCCACCCGTGGTATGGTATGTTTAATGTAACATTGTAGGATACGTGTTAACTTGTCCACTTAATTAAAGATCAACAACCCAGACGGGTTTAGCGCTTCTCTTTGAATATAATAACGTAATAGAGCACCAGAAAACTTGTGGAGAGAATGAGTGTCTGACCTTCGAGGCTGCCAGAGTACACTTTGCCGAGGTCGAAGTCGACGGGCCCTTCCGTGGACTCGAAGACGACATCATCGGTGAAGAGCGACGCATCTCGACGCAGACGTATTTTAAACAACCTGCAGGGGAAGGAGCACAAGCATTAGTGTAACTTATGACTGCTACAAGAAACATTAACACTTCTCCATAAATGATCACAAATAACTGGCTAGTACAGTCATTTATTTATTTGTGGTATGCGCAAAGTGGCTGATAATCTCAGCGCAGTCTTTTTCTCAGTCAATTTCATTCCCATTCCCAGCTTTGTTCCCATTACCATTTCGGCTCCTAATCCAGTGCCCATATCCATTCCAATTCCCAAAGGCTTTTCCGTTCCTGCTCAAAATCCCATTCGAATGCCAGACAGGGTAAAGTGTACTTCAATGCGGGTCACTCCATTTGAACCAGAGTGAAGTGGTCTGCTTACCCTTTAGCTCTGAAAGTTGGAGGTAGTTGGTAGTGTTAGCTGTGGTAGTTAAGGGTAGCTTGTATGCTGTAGCTGCAGGTAGCTTGAGTTTCAGTCTGTGTGTGTGTGTGTGTGGTGTGTGTGTGTGTGTGTGTTGTGTGTGTGTGTGTGTCGCTCGCTCTCATTCCAAGCCCTAGTAAGCCAAGATGCTAAGTTACTCACTCCACCAGCATGTTTTATGTAATGAACTTCAGAAAATCTATACAAATGGGAATTTACACCACTGAATATGAAATTTTCTTTTAACGTTTTTTTTTTATCTCACTTCTATATTCTTTCTCACTCTTCCCTCTCCTTTCTCACTTCTCCTCGCAAGCAATTGCCGCCTTCAACGCCAGAGGGCGCAAGAGCAATAACACAATACAGAGAATAAATGTATTAATATTCCTGAACGGTCAGAATAACAAACAAAATTAAACCTGCGCTAAATGAATGGAACAGCTGTCCAAGTTTATGGCTGTTCAAGGGGCTGAATAACTTTTGTCCACCTACTGGATATAGAAAAAAAAAAAAACTTGCGCAAAGGTTTGTGTCGATTATTTTCCGGTATTATTATTACTGTGAGAACTAGGCGTTAAACCCACAAGGGTCATACAGCTATTCTCCAAGTAGAACGTCAATGGCACAGCAACAGTTTTTATGAGTTTCGTGGACATTGTGGTCTAGGAGGAGAGACAGACTGGACATTCTAGTCTGGAAGAAAAGACACAGACTTGGCATTCTGGTCTAGAAGAGATAGTGTTGACATGAACGCGGGTCAGCGTTCCCTCACCAAGCCAAACATACTCTTGATATTACTCATTCGTACTTATTTTTGTACTCTTGCTAGCTCTAAGGATTGGGAAGGTCTTAAGCTAACTGTGCCTGCTGGTTTTTTCTTGAGGGCGGTATTGAAACAAGAATTTTTACCACGGTGTTTTTTTTCTATCAAAATGGAAAAAAAAAAAAATTGGCCAGAGAGAATCAGACACTAAATGAGTTTTTGTCAGAACGATGTTAACGGCTATATAAAATATTGATTTAAAAAATTAAGAGTTTGTTTTAAATGCTCCGCAAATGTAAAATGCACCCAGTTTCGAAATGAATACCGAACATAAAGTTTTATATCTAATTTTCTACATACACTCATCACAAACATACAGAATTAACGTTTTATAGCCGAGTGTAAACTGTATATATTTTATTTACATTCATGACTATGCTTGAAATATTCATCAATGAGGTCACAAATAAATTACTGGGAGAGAGGATCAGCTGGCCTATCAGTATTGTGTGTGTGTGTGAAGTAATTTGTATATGGTTGCAGGGGTCGAGTCCTGGTCCAGTTTCTCGCTCAGGAATGGTCACACGCACACTATTCCTGGCCTGATGTACCTATCCTACCTTTACTCGAAACTGTGCAATTGCTTCCAGTTCTTCATACAGATAATAAGTACATGACACAGCTTATACAGGCAATAGCTAACATCAGTGACATACTACATAAAAAGCCCCTGGTTATGCAGAACATTTCCCACAACTATGTTGTATGGAAACAAAATTAACCTACTAGAGTGAGAGATATGGGAGGAAGTGTAGAATAAACCCAGTGAGGAGCAAAAGTGCGGTGGGGACAATAAGGGAACACTGTATCAACATCCAGAGTCCCAAGCTATTCAACATCTTACCAGAAGATATCAGAAACACAGCTGGAACAAGTGTAGAAGTCTTCAAGAGGAAACTGGACAAGTATCTTCACCAGGTGCCAGATCAACCAGGCTGTGATAGATATGTGGGGCAGAGGGCCTCCAGCAGCAACAGCCTGGTTGACCAGGCACGTACCAGACGAGCCTGGCCCATGGCCGGGCTCAGAGTAGAGAAGCTCTCGAAACTCTTCAAAGGTATATCAAAGGATGCCACTCACACCAGTTGGCTAATACCCAGATACCTATTTTACTGCTAAGTGAACAGGAACAGCAGGTGTCTTAGGAAACACGCTCCATTGTTTTCACCTGTACCGGGGATCTAACCACGGACCTCAATGCGTGAGCCGAGTGCACTACCAACCGAGCTACGGCCGTCTCCCACAGAGGTAGGGAGACCCAAGAAAATAGGAAACACTTCATCATCATTTATTTAACCACTGTCTTGCCAAAGGCATGCTAACATGACGCTTCAGATCACTATCTGAAGTGTAACATCCTCACCCCTCCTCCAGAGTGCAGTCACTGAACTTTCCGCCTCCAGGACACAAGTCCAGCTACCCGGTTTCCCTAAATCCTGTTAGCATTCGGGGGAAAATTGCTATGCAAATGTGTTAGAAACTCCAGTCCACCTGAGAGTCATATCCTGGACAAAACTGCCAATGTGCAAGAAAACTCAGTTCTGCTGGAAATATTCCAGTGTTGGGTAAAAGGCTGCTATGAAGAAATTCCACGCAAATAATGAAACAAATATCAAACAGCCTAGCTGAAGGACCCAGCACCTCTGCAAAATACTGAATAGAAAAAATCAAAATAGGCGAACGCAATATAATTTCACAGCATATAATTTATCAATCTCTTCCTCTTATATACAATTATTTATTATTATTACTATTACTCAGAATACTAAACCATAATTTCTAGACTGGAATTCCGTATTACAAGGAAAAAAAAAAAGCTTCATTTACGACGCCATTAATGTTATTAATGATAATTTGATACATAAAAACTTATCTAGATATTTATTAGCAATAGTCCTGCCTGATACGCTGCCCATTACTATTATTTTCCACTGAATATTACTCTAACTTTAAATTTGAATTTTGCACCAAGGAAAAACTTCCTTGTTATTAAAGAGAACATTAACGTTGTTGATGTGAACTTTAATATTAATATTTCCAAACTCCAGCTTACGAATTAAATGTAAATCTGATTTAAATATATGTTGGAGTGGTACATGAGTGGGTGCTGACCTGCCTAGTATGGGCCACTCACCATACTGCAGTGTTGTTGTGTAATGGCTTACAAAACCTACAAGTTGAAGATAGACTTGTGCAACATTTGCTTATCTTAATTGGGGAAACGTTTCGCCAGCTAGTGACTTCTTCAGTCCAATACAGAGAAAAACGGTAGAAGATGAATTTGAAATAATCAGTCCCTCAGCCCGAAAGACTGATTACCTCAAACTCCTCCAAGTCTTCTCTGTATTGGACTGAAGAAGTCACTGGCTGGTGAAACGTTTCCTCAAAAAAGATACCCAAATGTCGCTCAAGTGTCTCATACTGCAGTGCTCGTTCATTATAATGTTGTTATTAAGAGTGCATGCAACTTGTTCAATACTAGAAAAAAAATATTGCTTAAGTTCTCAAAATGACCTACTCTCCACATGAGTTAACTGAAGTAAACACTCTCCACACGAGTTAACTGAAGTAAACACTCTCCACACGAGTTAACTCAAGTAAACACTCTCCACACAAGTTAACTGAAGTAAACACTCTCCACACAAGTTAACTGAAGTAAACACTCTCCACACAAGTTAACTGAAGTAAACACTCTCCACACAAGTTAACTGAAGTAAACACTCTCCACACAAGTTAACTGAAGTAAACACTCTCCACACAAGTTAACTGAAGTAAACACTCTCCACACAAGTTAACTGAAGTAAACACTCTCCACACAAGTTAACTGAAGTAAACACTCTCCACACAAGTTAACTGAAGTAAACACTCTCCACACAAGTTAACTGAAGTAAACACTCTCCACACGAGTTAACTGAAGTAAACACTCTCCACACGAGTTAACTGAAGTAAACACTCTCCACACGAGTTAACTGAAGTAAACACTCTCCACATGAGTTAACTGAAGTAAACACTCTCCACACGAGTTAACTGAAGTAAACACTCTCCACACAAGTTAACTGAAGTAAACACTCTCCACACAAGTTAACTGAAGTAAACACTCTCCACACGAGTTAACTGAAGTAAACACTCTCCACATGAGTTAACTGAAGTAAACACTCTCCACACGAGTTAACTGAAGTAAACTAAAGTGTATATACTATACAAAGATATACACATCTATTGATACGTATTCTTGCTATTTTAATACTTACATGCCTAATATTTAATACGCATAAAAAGTAAAATTCACACATTACGTTCAGTGACGCTTGACATGCTCCAACATTATTATTAATCAAGGTAAGCGCTGAACCCGAAAAGGTTTCACAGCAATGCTCAACGAAATATCAAATTAATATGAATAATAATGCGCTTTGTATGTTCAGAGAAATATACCTTTTGATGTGTATGCAGTGTATGTACATTATATTTTGTCTATTAATAAAGTTCACATGTAATATAAAATATGGGGAGTGATAGAAGAAAATATTCAAACAGCTCCGGGGATTATTATTATTATAATCAAGGGGGAAGCGCTAAACCCGGAGGATTATACAGCGCCTGGGGGGGGGGGGATGTGGAAGGCATTCAGGCTTAATTCGGGGAACTGGAGCACAGATCCAATTCCCTAAATCAAGAGCCCCTCACCAACATCAAGGAACCTTCCTTGAGGGGACAGCTCCGGGGAGAACCTTGAGGTTTTCCCTGAGGTACGTTTGTCTTCTCTGAGGATGAGGGTCCCCAGTAAAGTTCTAGACGTGCTACTTCCCTATATTTTTATATATTATAAATTTATATAATATATAAATATATATATTGATCAAAGAAACAGGTACCCTTCTCTTCCTCGGATCAAACTGGATTTCCACCCCATTTCCCAGAGTTGTATGGCCTTATGGGTTCAGCGCTTCACCATGAATATATTTTGTATATATCTCGGTATTTACATTAAATTGAATTTCTATTTTGGGTATAGAACATCTAACTTCTTCACAGATTACACGCAACCTTAACGATCCTCGTTGGCTAGTTAATTGCAGTTTAAAGCCTATCGACTGCAACTGGGTCATTAAGACTGCAGGTAACTTTTTTCACCACCAGACAAGAATAATTTAATGCCTAAAATAGGGATTGAAGTTAACCCTCAGCATAGATATACACAAAATGTGTGTATATATATATATCCCATATGGTAGATAGGCTTTAAGCCTAATAACTCGAATTATTTGGCTACAATCCAATAATTATATGTAATTACAAATGTGTTCAATGCTATAACTAAACACTAATAAAATAAATCCACCCGCACAGTTAAAGCTAATAACTATCCATATTTAATGTAAAATCAACAGATGAAGGAAGCTACATCCTGATACACGACGTGTGAGGTAACAAGTCACTCCTGCCAGATATAACCCTTCCCAGTCCTCCTCTTGCCGCTCTGCACTCATAACACACATCTTGCAGAACGTAAAACACCCGCGTTACGTTCTGAGCGGAAACTTGGGTTAATAAAGCGCTTAGATACGCCGTAAAAGAGGAAAACCTTAAGCTCCTGGTGGAGTGGTGGGCCTCTGCTGGAACTACCATGGCGACACTGCTGCTTCACCTCCCTCAACCCGTTGACTTCACTTCTCATACACATTTACACAGTTCGTTGATTTCTGCACAATCTAAGCCTCTATAGAAATGAATATCTGTTACTCTGGGCTAGATTAGGCTAAATTAGCGTAAAATAAGCAATATCTACGTAGGGTTAACGGTTAACCAAAGATAACATAATATCATAAAACGAGCAGCTAGCTGCTGATATAGTGTTGAGTAACGGGGGTTTGAAAGCCTATCTTTGGGATGAGGGTCATTAAAGACTGCATACAACTTTTTCACCACCAGACAAGACTACTTTAACCCCTAAAATAAGGATTAAAGGAAACTGAGAATATATACAATGAAACATCTCCCAGTGCATATATCCTGTGTGTAATGTTAAGTTTACACTAATCCATATTTTAGGGATTAAACTATTGTGACAGGTGGTGTACAGGTTATATACGGCCTTCATGACCCTCATGCAGTAGATATGCTTTAAATTGAATTGAGCAGGTAACCAGGCGCAGGCTAAGAGAATAAAGTAGCAAGTGGCTGGACCACACCCATCAATGACCTCCTGGGAAATTAACTATACTTGTGTGGCTCTGGGGTCATCCTAGGTTAAATAGTCAAAATTTATGACTTCAGTGACTATAATAATCATGGGAACACTTGAACAGGCTCCTCCAAGGAATTATTATTGTTATTGCTTTATTATTATTATTATTATTATTATTATTATTATTATTATTATTATTATTATCACGGGGAAGCGCTAACTCAACTGGGTATGAGGAATAGGTGTGAATTACCATGTGAGTAAATTACCTACAGGAGGTCTACAGGGTATTACCTGAATTATTACCTGCGAGTAATTTGGATGGGGTAGGTGGAACTTAGAGTAGGTCGCCGAACCGTCACTTCGTCGATGCCCACTCCCTGCCACTCTCACAAAAAGCTAGACCTAACATTTATAGTTGATCAGGCCCTGATCCACCGGGAGGCCTGGTCGTGGACCGGGCCGCTGGGACGTTGATCCCCGGAATAACCTCCAGGTAGACGTTCCAGTTGAAGGGTCTTCAAGTGTTGCCAGTAGTTCAGATGCTTGATTGAGTGTATACGAATAGTAAAAGTTCTCTGTACGTTTTCCAGCTTAGCAATCTCTCGTACCTTGAAGGTGGTCGTCAGTATACAACAGCAGTATTCCAGCCTGAAGAGAACAACTGACTTCAAGAGTGTCAGCATTGGCTAAGCATCTCTTCTCTTGAAAGTTCTAATTATCCAATCTATCGGTTTCCTTGTGGTAGCAACAGTGTTGTGATCCTTGAATGTGAGATCTTCTGACATCATCACTCCCAAGTCTCGAACATGGAACTTTCACTCTGTTGAATCATTTGAGTATTTCTTCAGGTTCGATCCAAGAAAGAGGAGATCAGGGTCAATTCCCCGGATCAAGAGCCCCTTAGCGGCAAAAAGAAAACTTCAAGGGGTGTGAGAATGCAACTTGAACGCAGCGCGCAATAAGGTCTGTAAGGGTGAGGTGGTCTTTAATCAGTGAGCAGCGCCCTGTCGTTCAGTGATGACGCACATTAATTACAACCTTGTGAGGAGTGCCTGGTAATAGGGCCCCCTGGCACTGCTGTTTCTCACCCTGAGTGCCAGCACTCTTCCTATCAAGACATCTTGCCTACCCTTCCAACCTTCTAGTTAATCTTGTCTCTATATGTTATCTTCGTGATGCATGGCTCTTCTGATCACTGCTTAGATTAAGCTTATTGTTCTTCGTCTTGCACGACTGCTCTCTCTCTCTCTCTCTCTCTCTCTCTCTCTCTCTCTCTCTCTCTCTCTCTCTCTCTCTCTCTCTCTCTCTCTCGTAAGCCGCAAAGCTGGGGACTCGGGCAGCCATTTATTTGATTAGTGTGTCAGTCGGCGTGTGCTCAGGCAGCTCCCTTTCTACTTATGTCCCTCCTGAGTCCTCTGTCACTGTTGTACCCTCTAGCTCTTTCTTTATCTTCTCTCTCTCTCTCTCGCTATCTACATACATACATACATACATATATATATATATATATATATATATATATATATATATATATATATATATATATATATATATATATATATATATATATATATATATATAAAATACGCTGGTGAACATGGTACAAAATTCAATGCACAACTTTTTTTTTTGTATTTAACATTTTCACGCTAAATGCTGTATATATATATATATATATATATATATATATATATATATATATATATATATATATATATATATATATATATTATATATATACGTTATTGTAGTTTTTGTATCCAAGAATTACGATTCTGTTTATTCCCATGGTTTGTTTTGTTAAATATAAAACTAAGTACGTTGATTGCTTTATGCAATGATGTGTATCTTCTTTACCTACATATAGTTAGGATAGGCTTCATGGATCTCCTGCTGCCTGTCCCATGAAAACTGTCCTACCTGCCTTCACATAGTTAGGATAGGCTTCATGGATCTCTCCTGATACTTGTCCCATGCAGTGTATCCTGCTCACCTACGTACATCTACTGTGGAAAATTGCATTTATCTGAATGTATCATTATATACATAACAGTAAATGAACATAGATAATTATTATTTATCAGTTAGACAAGTAGGAATTTGGGACACCTAGGTCGCAAAAAATGTCCCCCTTCGATACCTACCACTGTCATATACACAAGTTGCTCTGGACCTATTAATTAAATGAATTATACATCACCAGGAATGCTGGTAAATATATAAATTTGTGGACTGTATATTAAAATTAAAAAAGAATTATATATACACACTTATACATAACAGAAGGAGAATATATCTTAATCATATCACTCACCAATTTGACTGGAGATTAATGTGTCATGTACAGGACCCCCCCCCTTTTGCCTACATTTATGAAAATTTTACTGGCCAGAAATTAAACATAAATTAGACAGCTTATCTGAGGTTCCTGGAGTTGTCCTGTCCTGTCGCCTGATATCTCAAGTTATGCAGGAATGCACATCCAACAATTTCGTCTCCTATTTGAGAGGTGTCAGTCCAATTTTAACCTCTAGAGCACGAAAAATTCTTCCCATTACACTAACGTTGTATCCAATTCAAAAACCAAAATGGCGACTGTCTCTTTTTAAAAATACACTTTTATTAAATACAATATAGGGCATCTATTTACCTATAAATTACCGTATTTCCGGAAAATATACAGTATTTTCCACACTGCGGCCGGGCGGAGTTCGTTGTTAAACGACTCAAATTACTCCTTCCTTTAGGAGACGATTCCAGCCGGTTCTGGCTTGAGTGGCTGTTCTCCTAGTAGATCTTACTACGATTTCATCTTCCGGCATCACTTGGTCTGCGTTATCTTCCATATCACTCGTGTCACTTTCCCTCAGATTTTCATTTACGTTTGATTGAACACCTAATTCCAAGGGAATCAATTTATTAATTGTGTGTAAACTTTCCTGGCCACGACACAACACTTTGACATTCCTGACAACACCTTGTGCATCTGGGTACAATGTCAATACTTTGCCCAGAGGCCACAATGTTCTATGTTGTTCAGTGTCAATTAACACAATGTCATCTGGTTGAATGGTCTGTCGATTTACTGCCTCTGTCGCACCATAAAAGTGTTCACGTAGTGTAAGAAGATATTCCTTACGCCACACATTAGACCAATGATCAATTACTTTATTTAACATTTTAAATTTATTACACAACACTGCCGCATCATTGTAATCTTCATCACTTTCTTCCGGATTATCACTATAGACAGGGGCAGCTTCCAATTTCCTCCCACATATTAGGTGAGAAGGTGTTAATACATCTGCATCAGGTGTATCACTCATGTACGAGAGAGGACTATTATTTATAAGATTCTCTGCCTCCACTAACACTGCACGGAATTCTTCCAAATTAATCTCTTCCGGTGTAGTACTTTACGGAGACACCTCTTCACTGTGCCTATCAGTCTTTCGTACAGCCCCCCCCCCCCTGCCAAGGGGCTCTAGAAGTAATAAATTTCCAGGTACACCCTCGTTGGGTTAACAGAGATTGAACATCGTTACTATTATTTAATTCTATCAAATGTTGAGCACCTGCTACAAAATTTGTGGCATTATCCGAAATCATCAATCTCAGACAGGATCTCCTAGCTGCAAATTTTCGAAACAACTGTATAAACTGGAAGCACGTAGGTGAGAAAGGTACCTAATAATTTGCAACTGGAAAATCCTATAGAGACTGGCCCCAAAGCTGAATAATGAACTCACTCAGTATGAACACGAGAGACGTGGCAGACGTTGTATAGTACTTACAATATAAAGCAGGTGGTGCCACGAGTATATTAAGCAGGTGGCGCCACGAGTATATTAAGCAGGTGGCGCCACGAGTATATTAAGAGAAAACTCGAAGAGTGTTATTAGAGCTCCCCGACTCATTAACGTCCTTCGTCCGTGCATTAAGGGAAGTACCAACAAACAACTGGATGTCTTCAAGTGGGAACTGGACAAGTTCTTCAGATCAGTTCCTGGCCAGCCAGGCTGTGCGATCATCAGTAACAGTCTGGATGATTCAGCCTTGATCCATCAGGAGGCCTGGTCTAAGACCGGACCGCAGGGGCCGGAAACGTCCTTCAGGTATCCTCCGGGAATCCTCTCATTTAATCCAAGCGCTGTGACCCCTATTGTAACGCCGCTCCGCACCCATATAAATGCAATAATAGTAACACTCCCTCCCCCCCCCTGTGTCTCTCTGCAAGTCAAGTGATACACCAGTAATTTTCGAGTATTTGTTAATTATTCACAAATCTCAGAACCCGGCAATATGGTGCAAAACACCGAGATAACGGCTCACGAGGCTCCGACATGCCGGTTATCGTGGCAGAAGGTACGTGCCTCGTTATCTCTAAAACAAAGACTGCTTATCTCAAACCTGGTAAATCTTGGAATAAGAGGCGACGATGGCTTGCAGCGGCGGGATGGTT